CCACTGGGTCTGAACACAATGGACTTGTTTTCATCATATTCCAAACTGAGGGCAGAAAGCAAGACAGAGCAGGTTAAAGCGAGAGTGCTAATATGAACCAGTGATAAACTCACGTATGTTTGTTCTTCATGAGTCTCTGTGTTTATTTTCAGCACGTGAGTTTAAACTAGCACATAATTGCTGTGTAGCTATGTCTAAAACACACATACACCCTCATCGTGCTCTATATCGCACTCTGCCCTTACTTGCTTACTACTTCTAATAAAAGGCATTACCCCCCGTTAAGGCTTCTTATGTGACAGGTCACATGACATGATGACCTCTTCTAAAATGATAATTATCTGGTTCAATTGGTCACAACATACTGACATATATGGTAGTTATTCCAAGCAGATACAGTAGTTTGAGGGTTTTACAAGTCAAACAAGTCTTAATCAGGCTTCATGTTAGATTGATTTGTTATCTAAGAAATGTTGTTCATAAATATTACATTCACATCTATTAAAACATTTGTAAGATACTATGAAAGCAACCACACTGGTTTGACAAATCTCCTCCCAAACTTCCCAGTAGGGATAATAAGTCGGGTGTGTTATGTTTGCACAGTTTTTTTGTTTTTTTTAATAACTCTGACACAATGGCCACCTTTAAGTACAGGCTTACGCTCTGGTGCTACTGCATACACCTGTGTCATTATGAGGTTAGAACAAAAATACTTGACTCAAGCATTCCACCAATCACCTATTTCACTGAGACCTTGACATTTTTTCTGCTGCAGTGTGGGCACGGTTTCTGGAGAGACCAGTTGACCAAGCATAAGAACAAAGACACCTGAATATGGGAGCGTGCGTGAGAACAGGTCTCAGATGCTACCGTGACTGGTTCTACAGGTGAGACAGACTTTTTGAGATTGAACCAGGAAATGGAGAGGTCGAGAACGAGAAACGGTTTAAAAAACAAAACAGGAGAGGGGAGAGTGAAAATAATTCTCACCTGCCCAGTCTGTGGAAGGTGGGGCTGTTGGGTTTGGTAACATTATTGAAGAACAGCTCCAACTGGAAGGCATGAGGAGAAGTCTCTCTGGAAACAGAAAAAAAGAAAGAAAGAATCAGGACTCGAGTATCCAGAGGACCTTATAACTCTGAGTGATCATCAAATCATCAGTGACCATCAACGATACGATTTGATATTAAACACTCAGTTGTAGCTACATTTGTAAGTACACAAATAGTATTTAATGCCTAAATTCTACCCTGAGGAATCTTATAAAGCCCAGTTTTTACTGACATCATTAAAAATGCTTATATAACTCAGGTCAAAGTTAAAGGTGTGGTTGCAAATATTAGAAAAGCCACCACCTCCGTCAGCAATGATCCCAATATAAAAAATGAAACTGATTTCAACAGTTATGACAATCAACAAAAAACGGATCATAGTAGCTATGATAAAAGTCGCTTTTATGGCAGAACTTTGAACCAGATGTTACTTATACATCATGAGTTTCATGGATAAAATTAAAAATAAATGCACTTTATCACAATATCAATACTACCACAATGCATACCAATGCTAGAGGACTGTGCATTCTTGAGTCTGTTCATTCAGCTAAATTACATCACTCAGCAGGTTTGGGGGGAATTGAGACCTGTTCAACAATGGAGCTCAGGTGTCAAATGCACACACTTCTTTATTCACAGAAGCTTCTCCATTTCCCCCAGACACACACATTTATCTCAGGTATCCATAGCAAAAAAACCAAACAAAAAAAACAGCGACCCCAAAACATCTCTAAAGGCAATATAGCAATAACACCCAAGGTTTTTTGCAACTCAAAACCAATTCAACGTTCGCTTTTCTTATATAATTCTGATTTCTAGTATTGGGACAAAGGTGACACCATTGAGTATTGCCTCTTTTCCACTAGCATCTACTTGACTTGACCCAGTTTTTAGGGGTTTCCATTAAGTGGTAGTACCAGGTGCAGTTTAGTACTTGGCCAGGGTTCCAAACGACTTGAATCGAGCTAAAAATCTGACACTAATAGACTGCATGTCATTGATTGGCCAGAGAATGATATCACTGGATGAGTCAAACGCCTTCACAAGACTCAAACATGCCATTTTTTAAAACTCAGCAACGAAGAAAATGCAAACAAACCAACGCCGTGTTCCAACAACGAGGTTCAGATATTTTTGTGCTGAAGGTAGCCAGAACACTGTTGTGTTTGTGGCAAGTACAAATGATATCAATCAACTTTCGGGCTGCATTGCTATAACGGGCCCACCCACATTGAGGTGGTACACAGTTATAAGGACAAAAGACTAAAACTGAGTAGAATAGAACCCACTACAGCAGAATAGAGTCGAGTCCAGTCAAGTCAAGTGGGTGCTAGTGGAAAAGAGGTATTTGTTATACCAAAATTAAAATCACAATTACAGACCTAATGAGAGCACTGTTTAAAGAACTCTTTCCAAATGTTCTCCCTCAGACACTTACATCAACATTACAGTATTCCAGAAACCAAATTCATAGTGCACAACACTGTGTGTGAAAAATGTCAAGCACAGCTATCAACAGTGTCGGCTCTTCCACTGAAAACTGGACTGGTAATTAAATGGCACTTTTCTACCTTAAACAGGAATTTATGCTTCAGCTGAAAACATACGCCATGACCTGACAATAACCTCTCTAGAAATGTAACTAAATGTTGGGTCAGCGCAGCCCACAACAATTGTTACTGGCCTGTTCAGTACCACTGATCCCTCATGTGCATTTCTGGTTACCACAGTTTTTGAATTTATTGGCGACAGAATAACAATCGTCACTTCAGCATGAGAAAAAATAACCATAGATATAAAGACCCCTGGAGGGAGATTACCAAAACTATCGGAATGGACTTAAGGGAAGGTATAAAGAAGTGGAACAACTACAGGGACAAAAGTCACATCATTTCATTTGTTTCTATCAGTTGGCAACACATAAAACACCGGGACATCACTACAAGGTAATTAACATGTAATGCACCAGCGCAAGCTTCAACGTCAGCATTGACATCAGCCATTTATGTAGAGTGTTGTAAACTTCCCCATAGATTCCCTATAGAAGTCTGAATCAGACTTGGCTCATGACTCAAAGTGCTTTAGCCCATGGCTTTAAGCACTTTCTCAATATGATGCACAAATCAATGGATTCATCTGAGGCAATCTGTGTTCTGAAATGAAACCTTATTAGTTCTATGCAGAAGTTAAAGGTTTCTCTGCACAATTCTGAGGTAAAATGGTCCAATGAGTCATGTAAAGCTCCGGTTGTGGTTTTGCTTTAGTAGGAGACTACATTGAGGAGGACGGTAGCCACACTGAAATGGTGTTTGCCTTTTAAAGGTACAGTCTCAAAATTAGTAAAAAGACAACAGTGCGATATACATGCTGGCAACGCTATTAGAATTCATTTGGCTTGGCTGGGTGTAGCCAGTAAGATGCATGAGTGTGTTTTCAAGCGGGGATGGTGAATCTTACCCAAACGCTCTGCTGTCAGGTAGGTTACTATGAGCTTTGATCCCTGGAGGAATGACCCGCACCTCTGTGATCAGCACCCCGCAAGGAAACCGCACCACGTCTATGTTGGTTAACTGAAACAAAGGAGACATGATTGCTGATACAAATAATGATGAAATGTTTCATTTATAACCTCCGCCTTCCGCAGAAGTCACTTTTACTCCCGCTTCGAGGTAAACATGCTCCCTGACACTTTAAAGTTAGCATTAGCCACCTGGCTAACCACCAATCAAACTGTGCAAAGACACAAAAGACGGCAACTCTTTGAGCTACTAATGTATGAGGATTAAATTCACATCAAACAAACGCGTTATGTATAATTGGGCAGCTGTGCAGTAATCGCTGCTTAAAACCAGGATAATGACATCACATAGCTGCTAAGGTTAGGTAACGGCGTTAGCCTGGAAGTTAAGCATCCTTCCTCAAAACTCCTAAATGCGCTTGAAACTAACTTTTAATGCAGGTAGTCATGGAGTAAAAATAAAAGCGCGTGTTTAAGTGTTAAAAAACACTACCTCTGCACTCTGATGCTTAAACGTATCCAGAAAAAGAAGCTCCGTTGAAGGGTCCCCCGCCATCGCTCCACTGCTATCGGCCGGGCCAGGGGTAAACTTCCGGATTAAAGTCAATACTTCCGGAGCAAACACCCCTCCCTACAAAAACAAAACAAAATAAATAAAATAAATAAATGATTATTATTATTATTAGTAGTAGTAATAGTTGTTGTTGGTATGAGAAATATAGTTGGAAAATTTATATTTGCTTCGATTTAGATTTAGGAGAGAAAAAAGTTGAAAAGTGTTCTGAGGGATATTTTTTCTGTTGTAAGACATTTTATTTTGTATTTAAAAAAGTTTAAATCAGTTAATCATATCAGAAAATCATAATTTAATAACTTTATGATTTAATAACATGATAGCTCCACTTGGTCTGTAGTAGTATTTTTTTTTAACTGATTTCACTGATTTTTCTTTCTGTATTTCAGCAAAAAATTAGATTTTTTTCTCACACTCATTTTCTCTTCTTCTTCTTCTTCTTCTTCTTCTTCTTCTTCTTATTATTATTATTATTATTATTATTATTATTATTATTATTATTATTGTCAATTCCCTTAAAAGACAAAATATTTCTTTTTTTTTTTAAAAAAAAGACTACAATTCGAATTATTGAATTGTTATAGAGACATTTACTATTTATGAAATTATTTTTAATAATTGACTACATAGTAACTAAAGTGTATATACTTCAAATTTGTTATTATTATTGTTATTATTATTTATTTATTTTTTATACTAATAACCATTTATTACCTTTTCTGTCCTGCGTGAGCTGCCACGTACTAAACTTTGAACCACCTGAAAGAGGGAGGGGCCAGGTAAAGGGGTCACGTGGTCGCACAGGTAGCTTCCCTACAAAAGCGGTGAGCGTTCAGCCATTGCTTCGCGATGGTGACTGCGGGAGGCTTCACATAAAATCTCACAGGCGACAAAACTTTGGATTTACGGGCTCACCTTTGCGCTCAGGTGTCAGAGTAAAGGCGTTTCTACCTCCCGCGTCCTGCTCGCGTCTCACATCCCGCTGATCTTCAGTCCCTTTTAGTCTCGTTTAGTATTAGATTAGTTTTCTGTGTGTTTGCGGTTCTTTTTTTAAAATTCAGATGACGGCGCAGGTAGACTACCTGGTGGTGGTTTTCACCGCCACATCTGGCGCGAGCGGAGATCTCCTGGGGTCTGACGAGAAGGAGCTCGTGCAGTTGGTTTGGCAGCTCGTGGATGTAAAGAACAAAAAGGTAAAAACTCACTTGTAGGCTGCTTGTTCTTACTTGCTAATCATCGTGACTCCAAAGCAGGAAATGTGGTGTTCAAAGGAGTGGACAGGTGGACTGCAAACAGCGATACATGATGTCAGACCAATATTAATAGGGAAAAAAAGTGTGCCAGGGGGATTTTTGTGGGATTCCTGATTACACGCACCTGTTCAGAAATCATTGTTCGCTTTAATTACAAAAAACCTTCTGCCTTATGTGTAAGACGTTTAAATTGCTCCTTTGCTGCTTTCCACTGTGATAATATCTATGTAACAAACACACATATTTCACGCTGGTTTTATTATATTGTTCCAAAGCCTCTGAGTTTCTAGCTAGGCTGGCTGTTTCAAGGCTGACTTGTTTTTTTCCTCTCTGAACCAGTTGGGCAAGGTGAATGAGCTCCTCATAAAGCCTGACCTCTCAGACTTGACAGAAGAAAAAGAGGAGGAGGATGTGGTGGAGGAGAGCGTGGAACAGGAGAATGGATCTGGAGCAGACTGTGTGTACAAAGCACCGAGCGTTGATAAAGCTTTAAACATGGTAATGTCTTCAAAGTAGCCAGAAAGCCATTAATAGGCCATTTATTGATTATTAATTACAGTTACAGCACTGGTTAAAGCAGCTGTATTAAAGTCCATACCTCTAAATGTTTTTACAGTTTCATCTGCAACTGACAAATGAGGTGAACAGCGCGGGCGCAGGCACGTCGGTGTGTTTGTGTACAGACGGGCAGCTCCACATCCGCCAAGTGATTCACCCCGAGGCCGCGAGCAAGGTGAGCGGGGCGGGGGAACACGCCTAGCAGCCAGGGCGGATGTTTCACTCACTCACTGCTGCGGGAGCCTTCGACGCTCTCAGAGGGCTGTGTTGTGTCAGCACCGCACTGCTCGCTGAACTTTAATGTTAACACTGAAAGTTGATCTACAGGAGAAGCCACTGCGGTGGCACACGCCCATGCGCATACCGCACACTCGTGCACATAAAAGACAGGCACACAATGATGCTCATGAAATGTCTCCCGAGTGCCTTCAAACTGTGTGTTAATGATACAAGAAGTAGGCAGTGCATGCTCTTGTGGCCTGTGCAAACATGAGTTTCACAGCAATAAAAACAGCAGCTGCTGATGGGCCTTTCACTCACACTGTATTCCTCTCCAGAACATCCTGGTCCCAGACTGTTTCTACTCTTTCTTTGACCTTCGGAAGGAGTTCAAGAAGCACTTCCCCGCTCCTGACCTCAAAGCTCTGAATGTCCACACCATGGCGGAGTGTATCCTTTTAACACGTCATCTGTTTACATTAACATTTCATGTCCTGTTGCCCGTTTACGCCGTCTAAGTCATGGATTTCCAGACATTTGTATTTTTTTGCTCGATTGATTTGATCCTATTGATTGGTTCTTTCTCATACTGTGCATTGCATTACCTTCAAAAATCCACAACACACGCGCATTAAGCTGTTGGCTGTAGGGATAAAGGTTTTGAAATGCAAATAAGGAAAGAGTGGCAGCACCTTACTAAGCCCTTAGTGAAAGAGTGTGTGTTTACCCAACAGGACCAACCCCATACACACACACACACACACACACACACACACACACACACAGGTACAGGAAGAAAAACATGTGAGTGTATTGCTGTTCTGTTTTCACTTTTTTCATTTTTTCACACACCTGTGTATTCTGTCATGATTTGGGGAAAAAAAATTTAGTGCTGGCAACTCTAAATACAGATGAACCTCCTGGTTAAATGGAACTCAAAGTTACCAAAGAGGGCCTGGTTACGGCCATGATGATCGGTGTAGCGATCTTGCGGATATCCTGCCTTTTAATACTCCAGGTTGATTCAGAGCAGGTGTAGAAGAAAGCTGAGAGAGTGGGCTCCACCCAAAGCATACAACTCCAACTAAATTGAAAATGGACTTAGGAAATGAGAGAGAGGAAAAAAAAGAAGAAAACAAACCTCCAATCCTGCTGGACCATGATGCATTCATGATTAATAACACTGTCGCTCCCTTGCTTGTGCTCCTTAACCACCTCCTCCTCAGCTCTTAGTATACCTGTTGATGTGCCCACCATGTGGGACCCCTCTGCCACACCGGATCCATCGGTCCCTTTGTCTGCAGAAGTAGCCACACAGCAGCTTCAGGTTATGTCCAGCGTTGTCCTGGCACTGCTATCCGAGCCATTTTGTAAGTACCACGTACATTACAGAGTAATGTTAGCAAACACATCAGTAAATCGATTTACTACTAATGAGTTCCAAAACTGTGTTACTTTAAGTAAAACCTTGCTGTGAACTAAACTATAAAATCAATTAGAACCTCTTTTGAGGATAACTGTTAATCATTTCCCCCCCCCAAAAATGGATGATCCAAGATTCATAGTACTACTTTTGAGCGTGCCACTTAACAAACCGGTAATTAAGAAAGGAAAGAAATGTAAGGTCTTTCCTGATTTAGACTTTAACCATTTGCTTTGCCTTTTAAAAACTGTCTCAGCTTGATTACTTTGTGTGTTATCATGGTGACTCTGTCACTTTGCTGTTGCAGGCCACACGTTTTCGAACCCCGAGAGAGTTAGTGAGAAGTTCGAGAGCGGCACTTGGTGAGTAACATTTATTAAAGATACACGTTGTTTTTGTTCCCTGATAATCCACTGTAATAATACCTGTGTGTGTGTGTGTGTGTGTGTGTGCAGCAGTAAAATGGAGAAAGTGTGCGACAACACGGTGATCCGAGCCAGAGGATTGCCGTGGCAGTCTTCTGACCAGGATATTGCTCGATTCTTCAGAGGCCTCAACATCGCCAAGTACGTTGCTGACATCTTTAAAGGCGCACATTTTTACACTGTTTATCATCTCTTTTTTTAATCACTGATGACACCCAGAAAGCTGCTGCTGACAGAGGTTTTCAAAGAGGCTTTATAACCCCCTTCAAATGCTGTGCTCTTTAGAGGAGGGGTTGCGTTGTGCCTGAATGCTCAAGGGAGGAGGAATGGAGAAGCTCTGGTTCGCTTTGTGAGCGAGGAACACAGAGAGCTGGCGTTGCAGAGACACAAACACCACATGGGGAATAGATATATTGAGGTAAGGCGTCTGGACACAGTAGAATCAGCCACATCACCAAATTATTGTCCCATCACTAAACATTGTTCCCCTCTATCGGCAGGTTTATAAAGCAACAGGAGAAGACTTCCTGAAGATAGCAGGAGGTGGGAAGTTCATATATCTGTTAGCTTAAGTGCAGCCGCCTGGTTTATGTATGTATATAGTGAAACTGAGTTGAAAAAGAGGACTTTTGAAGTCTTTGAGATCTTTTATGGTGCTATTTTATTAATTCGTCAGCAACTTCTTATATGAGCTTGAATTCATGTATTTAGTAATAATTATTTTTAGGAGTTGAAAATGTTTCAGGACCTTTGTAAATGTCTCCAGGTCCATTGGGATTTTTCCTTCATGCCACTTGTAATCTTAAAAGGAAAATTATTATTAGCACAAAAAGCTGTTAGTTATGACTCAGTGATACCATTTAATGGCAACACAGCATTTTATGAAGGGCAATAAGTTTGTCAACAAGGCACAGCTCAGTGATGAGCTATTCAGGTCATTTGACCTGAATATTAATAATTTTACTCACATGATGAACGCCTCCCAGAAACCAGAAGTGACCTCATTACGTAAAGCTAAAGTTTATCATCATACAGATGAGAGATTTAGACTATTACTCAAAATCACAGAGGCTTGAAAAGTCAGATTTAGCATCACTCTTATCAATTGCAGAAGAAGAAGGAGGCCAACTAACACTAGTTGAACGGGCTTGCCCGTGTCATTCTCTCTGTGTCAGGTACGTCTCATGAGGTAGCAATGTTCCTGTCCCGTGAGGACCAGATCATAGTGAGGATGCGAGGCCTCCCTTTCACCGCCACGCACGAGCAGGTGCTCGCCTTCTTCTCGCCAGAGGATGAACTTAAAGAGACGTGTCCCGTCAGCGGGGGAAAGGATGGCATCCTGTTTGTTCGCTACCCAGATGGACGTCCCACCGGCGACGCGTTTGTTTTATTTGCCTGTGAAGAACATGCTCAGTGCGCCTTGAGGAAACACAAGGAAATCCTGGGGAAAAGATATATCGAGCTTTTTAAGAGTACGGCAGCAGAGGTGCAGCAGGTACGCCGGGGTGTTTCTTTGCTTTGTTTTACGGTGTGCGGTGGAGTGAAATGTGCTTGATGGTGTGCTCACTTGTAGGTTTTAGAGGAGAAAAACTGTTTGTTTATTTGGCCACAGCAGCAAAGAGTGACAACGCGAGGGTGTGTTTCTTATTTTCTCAGGCAGTTGTAGGCATTATAGGAGAGAAGCTCATGGGTGGGGACCAGTAAAACAAGGTGGACTGTGTGTGCATGTTTCCCTACAAACGGTTATTCTAGCTGCTCCTTTCTCTTTTGAACTTTCTTTCGCTCTTTGTGTGCTCCACTGCTCTTCATGTCTCATGGCATTCATTTTCTTATCTTTCTGGACTGATAAGCAGACAGTCCACCTACATTTCTATGCAGAGGCCTTTTGTGGTGTGTGTGTGTGTGAGACACTTGCGAGCTTTATTGGTCCTCTCCAGAAATGCAAACACGCTGGTGTCCTGTTGGCACCACGCCAGCTCCTGTCTGACGTTGCGTCATATTTAAACACAGCTTGGACTTGGGCTTTTTTCTGCTTGAGATGTTTGCTTTTGAGTTATGGTTAGTGACTTTTACCTGTCAGTACTAGAGGAGAAAGGGTTTCCTAAAACTTCACTGCGCACTCAGTAGGTTTTTGCTTTAGGCAGGGTATGTAATATGATACTGTGTCTTAGGTGCTAAACAGGTACTCCTCAACCCCTCTGATCTCCGTGGCCCCTGCCCCTCTGATTCCTGTGCTGCCCACGGTGTCTCTTCTGCCCCCTCCTGGTGGAGTGAGAGACTGCCTGCGGCTGAGAGGGCTGCCGTACACGGCGAGCATAGAGGACATCCTCACCTTCTTGGGCGAGTTTACACAGGATATCAGACCGCATGGAGTGCACATGGTCCTCAACCAGCAGGTACATGCAGCACCCACACTGACACACCCATTGACTCACATGCTTTCTAGCACAAATTTACAGGTGTTGCGGAGTAATCTCTGATTCGTCTCCGCTTTCAGGGTCGTCCGTCAGGTGACTGCTTCATCCAGATGACATCAGCTGAGCGAGCGCTCCAAGCTTCGCAGCGGCTTCACAAGCATGTAATGTCCAGCCAGCGTGGGGCAAACAGCCGCTACGTGGAGGTGTTTCCCTGCAGCGCAGAGGAGATGGGCCTCGTGCTGATGGGAGGCTCGCTCTCGCACACGCATACACACACACACACCCGGAGCAGGAGTGGGACAGGGCTCAGCCCGCCGCCATGTAAGTCAAGACGTAAGTGCTGCTGGGAGCTGGGTTGCTTCGGGACTGCAGGGTAGGTGGGCTCCTGCCTTGTGCAGGGTTGCTGGGTTTTTCTCCAATCTCAAACTGTGGGAGGATGAGGAAATCTGGTCTAACCAGGAGGATCGAAAACTGTGTGTCTGAGAGTTTGTGTCGGTGTATGTGAGTGTGTCACCTCTTTGTAATTTAGTGTGATTAAATTACCCATCTGCATGACCTAATAAACCTAATGGGGTAACCATCCTTTTTTTCAGTTGTTGACTGTGTTCACACATTTAGATGAAAATACTGTAGTTTGTTTTTAGTGGCATGTTTGTCGATCTCATAAATTCCACTCTCTTACACTGCTGAAGTATTTCATAAAAATCTGAAAGGGTTGGGAAAGTGTAAGCAAGACAGTTTGATTCCAGCTATCTTCATAAAACATCAAAAATGGCTTACATCTCTCTAATCTTATCAGATGAGTAGAGGTGGTTGTGGGATTAGGCCTCAATGGCCTGGCACACCTCTGGTGTGTGCATTTCCTGTGCTTGTCCAATCAGGAGCTGTGTAAAAGTTGTGGGCATATCTGAACGCTGGTGCGTAGATGGTGCATTGATCTCTGTGTGTGCAGTCCTTCGACTTAAATGTGGACTCTTAGTTTTCAAAAAGAGAGGATTATAACACGTCTAATGGTTATGAGCCGTTTAATATGAAATAGTTCACATGAGTGAAAGGGACACAACACAGGGATTCAAGGCTAGACATGCAGGTTTTAAAAAGGGTCCATGATGAGATGAAATTAAATGTTGAAAATGCATACACAGACTGCAGGAACTACCAGAATCACCATGCAAGGAGGATAAAGTGCTCAGGCGGCACTGTCCCCTGCATTTAGACAGTGTCTCTGTTCTCTGACAGCACTGTGGCTCTCGTTTTGCTAATATTTAATACTTGGAAGGCTTTTTGCATGAATGCATATGAGAAAGTATAATACAGTAGATGCTGCTAAACACTGACAACTGTCGAGTGAATTAAAAGCATCTTACCTGCTCTGAAATTACACAGAGGTGATAATAAAATACTGAAATAATGAAACATACAGGTTACAGGCCCATCGGTGGTCCAGCATAGTGTACAATACGCTGACGCTTTCATTGTTTGCCACGTGCATACATTCAAAGTGTGTCAGGTGCTGAGTGATGTTGTGGAGGGTCATTGTTTGTAGATTTGCATGAGCACCTCTCCAAAAAACAAACAATGACCTTGCAGACTTCTCCACCATGTCTCTGTTCACGCGTGTCAGTGTTTGTCTGGTTAAAAATCTTTTACCTCTCCCTCTCCTCCTCGCCAGGTTTATCGCCACCATCTTATTCCTTCACACCTGCTCCACCTGTCCTGCCTCCAGAGGCTGCTGCTGCTCTCTACCCTCCCATTGGGCAGGTGGTCCTGGCTCCTCGCCCCCTACCACCAGGACATGCCTACTACCCCGCCTCAGCTCAGCTATACATGAACTACGCAGCCTACTACCCCAGGTAAACAGTGGTATTTACAGATGAAGGGATTTATTGAATCAGAGATTAAATGGCTCAGCTTGTGAAAATGTTTAAATATTAAATATTTGCATTGGTGAATAGGTGAGAGGTATGTTAGAGGAAGGTCCAAAGGGAAAACTCTCTTCATTGCCGAAATTATTATTTGATTTTATCTGTTTGAAACGTTTTGATTTGTCTGATTAGTTTGCATAAACGTCACAGAAAGTTATTGTTTTAACAGTGTGCAGGAATTCTCACAGTTTTTACCTCTCAGCCTTCAAAGCCTGAGGGGGCCAGGCGGGCGGGCAGCCTGGACACCTAAGTTTGTGAATGCAATAACTCGAGAACAAGGCGGCGTAGGAGCTTCAAATTGTTACCATAGTAATATCTACTAAAAATCTCAGATGAGTTCAAATCTCAGTGACCTTGACAGAGGTCAAGCTTTCTGAAAATCTTGTGAACTCAAAAAGGAATTCACCTTGTTCCAGCTGAAAATCTGTAAATATGTACACATTTACCTGAAATATCCTTGATGCTTTGTGAGAGCTTACTGTTGTGTTTCTCCCATTAAGTAATCTTCCTTTCTCACATTAAATCAACCACTCCTGAATTTCTATAAAGACATTTACGAGCCAACCGACGCTAAGCCGAGGCTGCCGGGTGGTGTTTACTTGTGGGTTGTTTACTGATGGGTGAAGTTGCTCTCACACAAACTCTCAGATCCAGGCAGAGCTGCCATTTCTCACATGTAGCACATAAGACGGGGATTCCCCGGTCCTGGCATACCCCTGTGAATGGAAATAGTCCATTTGGTTTAGGGAGCTGCCCGTGTAGAGCTGCTGGACACTTATTTACTTGCTTTATTCATAAAGATATGCACACCTTGTACTGCAAGGCCGGCAGGTTAAAGACTGAGCGTTGGACTTGAGTGATTCATATATTTATAATTCTCTCATAAAGCCCTGCAAAAGTTCAGGATGTGCATAAGAAATGTGGAACTGCTATCCACGCTTAATCTTCTTCATTCTTAGCATAGCATAGCATAGCCTGCATAGCATCAATCAAAATCAAAATAGTTTTACAGAGGTGGAGCATTTTGTACTTGGTTGAATTATGTACTGCCAAGGAGAAAGGCTGGGGCAAGGGTAGTTAATGACTGAAGTCTGTGTTATCAAAGTACTTGGTAAACAAGCATTGACCTCTGGTTCTCTTTGGTGAGCCATCAGAGACTGAGAGAGCAGCTCACTCAAAGACAACACCCAGAGTTACTCCCAGTCTTGTTTTTCCTGAATCCTGCTGCATGCGTTGTGTTTTCTGAGAAGATACATGTTTATGCTGGTTTTGTACGTAGGATAACAGTCTCTCTCCTTTTTCCCTTCTTGTTGTTTTCTTTTTTTTTTCTTTTCCAGTCCACCTGGCTCACCTAACACCTTAGGTTTCTTCCCCTCCCCCTCCTCCATTGCCTCGCCGGGAGGCCTGGTGCGTATGCCCGGTCTGACCTACAACAGCAACGGAGTCAAAGAGCTCATAAATGCAGTGCAGGGTTACCAGGTAAGTGGTGGCGTCCTTCAAATGCACCGTGCACTTAACATTTTATTAATGTAGTTCCTATAATGGAGATTTTCTGTGCCTTCAGAGCTCTCATACCTCACTGTAGGATCCAAAGTGTTGTATTCAAATCTCCTCGTATTATGGGTGTATATTGTCAGGCATCCACTGTGTTTGCCCAGAGGCTATCAAACTAGTTTATCCTGTCTCCTCTCCCTGTTCTGTCACACACGGATTGCTGCTTGCTTCAACTTGAACTGGAGAATCTCGGATCTTATTTAAACCTGAAAGAGTGCGAAGATAAATTATGACATGATAAGGACTACTTTAAGCAATATATTGAGACAGACTGGGTTTTGTTTTCTGTATTTTAAAGGCCTTTAGATTAGTGTCTATGGCTACATGTGTCTCAGCCCCCATCTCTGTCATTCCTCCCCCTTCCTCATGCCACAGTATGCTCCCGAGGATGCTTTCATGCACGCCCACGGGCCCGTGCACACTCATGACCCGACCAGGACATTGCTTACGCAGCCCAAAGAATGGGTGTGTATTTAAGGTGTCTGAGGCAGGTGGCAGGTAAGGATTGGCTGAGGGATCAGTCAGGGGGATTTAATTTAGAGAAGGTGTTGTAGCTGTGGTTTTACTGGTCACCAGGGCTTACAGGGCACCATTTTCCACATAAATGGGGAATTTTCAGGTATTTCCTTTTGACTGGGTTAAATGATTGGAGGAAATCTCTTGGTTTTTAGGTATTTCATGGGTTTTCACATGGCGTCTGTTTAACTTTTTTTCTGTCCACTCGTGAAGTCTTTAATGAAAACACTGAGCACCACATAGCCGACTGACCGTCCACTGAACCCTCTCCCCTCTGACTGTACAGGCATGGTCCAGCGTGAAAGTCAAATAGCGGGCGCAAGAAACTCCTCGTTCTCATACCCAGAGAACCAGTAATAAGTCCTCATTTTTAGGTGTTACATTGCAGTATTAAAGATACATTTTTTTAATGTTTCATACATCAATACAAGGATATTATGGGTATGTAAAACGAAAAAAAAAAACTAGGTATGAAAATGTATATAGTTAAACTAAATTTAAAAAAAAAACTTACCTCCCTCCCCTCTCAAAACTCCCCCTAAAACTAACTAAAATAGCATTTTGTACTTTATGCTCAATTTCTTTTTGAATGCATTAATCCTGAGGAGGTAATGACACAGATGTTTAGTGAGACTGCGATATCCACTTGACTGTGAGTCATGTGTTTTTATTGTAACGCTTGTTCTGAGCTTCTAGAATTTTCCACCTGATAAATGATAATTAGAAACACTAAAAAGAACACAGAAACTAATAAAAATGAAACGGTAAAGACCCTACAATAACAGAAGAAAACTGCAACAACACACCTAAGGGCAAGCGCTTGGCAACAGTGAGAAGGAAAAACTCCCTTTTTGCAGGAAGAATCTTCTGGCAGAACCAGGTTCACTGTAATCTTATATATATTAACGCCCTTTATCAGACATTTGTGATTACCTGCTGCTTCACGCCAAAATGTCTGCTGCGAAACTGGCCTGCTGAAGAGTAAAATTACTTTACAGAACAATTGCAACAATACCTAAGGGGGCGGGGCTTAGTCGACGGTCAGATGGTGCTGTCGCAATGAGGTAGTGTAATAGATGGGTAATAACAGCTTTAGCCTTTAGGTGATTGAGAAGGTGATGGGTAATGTCTGGTGCAGGTGCTCTTTTTTTGTTGTTGTTGGGGGCTAAAATTCTTTCCTCACCCTTGTTCTTCTTCTCTCCGCAGAATCCTGCAGAGTCTGTTTCCCTCCTGAGCAGCAGTCTGATTGGTCAGTGCAGCTCAAGTGAGGCTCCTCTTATGTCACTACCTGCTCTCATGACCAAGCCAGGGGGGCAGTATTTGGATTTGACCCTGCTCTAGGGTCACATGTGATAATTTGGTATATGTCAAAGACTTGTTAGATTTTTTTTAAATAGCCTTTTAGATGTGTTATTTATATCGTTAGCAACAGAAATTAATGTATTTTATACCAAATTCTCTGTGGCCTTAGCCAACGATAGCATTCTCATCTTATATTGCACATTGTGTATTTTAAAAGCTTTATAGAGATTTTTTAACCTGTTCTATTGTAATCATTACGGTACATATTTGTTAGCCAAACTAGAGAAGAGTGACTTAGTAGCAATTGAGCTAAATGTTTAAGCTTTTCTGTGAAGAGTGAAAGTGTGTGAGTGTGAAAGAGATGAGAATGAGTATTACGCATGGCTGTGTTGAGATGTTTTATTACATAATCTGTTAATGCAGTACATTGTGTGTGTTTATATACATTTGATACAGTACACAGTGATTGTATTGGAAGCTTTAGTGCATGAAGAAGTTAGTAGTGAAACTTTAAGATGTTTACATAATGCCAAATATCAATGCACTGCTAATCAATAAGACTACTAATGAAAATAATAGCAGTATGTTTGAATGATATCCTATATGTTACACTGTGAGTTTGTCTGATAGCCTGGACCTTGTTATGAGGCCTCAATTTACAAAAACTGTGACATCTCACACTTCATTAGCCCCCTCCTTTATGTGTCTGACAAGGGTATTTTTCCATGCTGCGCCACGCCAAAGTTGCCTTGTTGTGCATTTGGATTCAGCTGAAAAGAAGACGGTCCCACTTCTCAGTAATTTAACTACAAATTTGCATTCTTCAAGAGGGCTCAGATCACAAGCTCTCAGCTTACTGTGCAAAGAGTAAAGCCAGAGCTGGTTTATGACCACTTCTGTGACATATTTTTAGCAGTCCATCACACTTTCCTTGTCTTCTTTCCACCATCTACGCTGTTATTGGAGAACGTTATTGAACAAACAGGTTGCTCTAAGAAATCTAATCACCGTACTTCTTTTGAACCTGTAGATTTTTAGGAAAGGCGAAAAGGAAAGGAAATGAAGGACATGCCGGATATGTTTCATGTGAATTTAAATGCCGTTTATGCTCAGCATAAAGTTGATGTTTGGGCTTCATGTTTCTGTACGCATGTCCCACAGCAGGATTTAATCCTCCTCAGGACGCCCTACTGCAGGCATGCTGAAAAAGAAAAACAATAAACTTAACATGTCAAGTTTGTCATCCTCCAGCTGTTTGATTTCACTGTTTACCTTCTGATCATTTCACTTTGCCGTGTAGTTATGTTCCTGTTTGTGTCTCATGAGGGTTTTTAAAATGCAGGAGTGCAAATATGCAGGTGGAGCTTGTCTCGTGACACAACGTGGCTCAGGGCGAAACTGTGGGAACTCCCTCTCACTGTCCTCAGCGATTACCTCTGCGGTGCCCGCATACACATGCTATAGCAAAGGAGCTATTGTCATCTAGACACACTGAACACATTATGTGAGAGGATGGCCTCTCTTTTTACTGCGTGGAAAAGAGCAGAAAATAGATCAGGAAGTGGGAAGAGAGAAGGAAAGCAGACAAAACCATGTCAGACCCCCTCAGGGCAGAGTTACATTGTGTAATACAATCTTCTGCACCCCACCCAAATGATCTCTTTTAAAAACACTTAGTCTCCCACTCACAAAACACACACACTCACACACACACACTGTCCAAACCAGCAGCAAGAACATTTTTTTTATCCGTGTGACAAAGTTTTTCTTACCTTTTTGACGTCTGGAAAATAAATGTATTGTCTGTAAGATGTTGTTGAGAAATCCAGTGAAGTTACACTGGTATGAAAAAAGTGCAGATAAGTGCAGCTGATTTAGGGAATTTTTAATTTATTGATTGAACTGAGCACGTCTTAGATTTAAAGAATCAGAGTAGATTAAATCAAATCTTTTATTAAGAAAATAATCCAGGGTTTGTCAGGGACAGACAACTATCAGGAAAAGGGAAGTTTTTTTTAATAACAAGAGGATTATTTTAGTTATTTAACATTTAGCAGGAGATGATCTTTAATCTTTTTCATGTTCCACACTTATATCCTGTCCTTGCAACATTTACTTATGTGGATGAAGTCCCCACAAACCCAAAGAAACCCCATGTCACTCACTATGAAATGTTTTTGGAGCCATTTTCACGGAACTAGTGAAAATAAGTGTTTATTTAAAAGTGTATAATAGGTATAAACTACATGTGCAGGGGCGGGTCTAGAAGGTAGCACTTAATATCATTCATGAGGTATCTTTGACATATGTTTTATAGAGGCCATATATAGGCCAGTTTAAACACAGGCAATCATTTTTTCAGCAAATACCTGAAATCACTTACTGGCACAAAACTGTCCATGTGATCTGAATGCTATCGCTATCTTTTTTCAAATAGCAGAGACACAACTGGATATCTTCTTTCAGTGAAGTTGAAAAGTCAGGTTGATGAAGCAATGACAAAGAAAAAAAGAACTTATTATTATTATAATGGAGAGTTTTTTAAAATTTTCAAAATGCTGATAGTTTAGATGCAGCATGACTGACAGAGAAGATTTGCAGTGGTCTGCAGAGTTACAGCCTGGAGTAAAACATGCAGTTGCTGCACGCATAAATGCAGTGGCAAAATATGGATTCTCTACAATGCACATAGTCTGGTTGATACAGTTAAGCTCCTGAGGAAGCATGTTCTTTAACTCATTTGAGAAGCCATACACTTTCATGTAAGGCTCATACATTCACAACGAATGGCTGGAAGTTCAGCAAAAAATGTGTAGAGGCCAGCCCAGAGAGCTTTAGAAAATGAGCATGCAGTCACTTTGCATGGTGCAATATGATGGACAGTCTACCTGCAGTGCTCCAGGTCTATTAAGATATATACAAGTAAAGAAGGTCTGTGGAGGTTTAGTATATAGAGTTATGGAGGGCAACATATTCGACTGTCTACCCACTCTTTTACATTAAGTACATTAAGTGAGTCGGCTTTCTATTTTTGCCTGTCTTTATGTAACATCATGTATGTCATTTTCTGTCTTTGCAATGTGACCTGCAGCAAGGTTATTATAGCTAACTACAAAACATATAGAACATTTTAGTTGTTTTGAAGTTGCACACATTTTAGTGTGTTTGTTAGTTTGAATCAAAACTTGCCTTATGAGATTTTGATAGACAAATATCTATTGTGGATGTCCACGACACTGTGAGTCAGCTGCTTTTAGAAAGTTCTGTTTTTATTGTAAAACCTGTACTGACTTTCCAGAATCTTGCCTCTGACACACATACATGTACAACATAGTTAATGAAGATTAAAAATAACACAGAAACAAACTGAAGTGAATTAAAGAGTGAACAGCTTTTTGTATGTAGTGACAGTTAACTGCAACAAGCTGCCTAGTTTCTTTACTAAGGCATTCTTTTATTCCCCGATGCAGTCTAACAAAGGGTTTAATGACAGAACAAAAGCGTCTACGTGTTTTATATAGTTTCAGGTGTTTGTTTCTTAACCACATTGTCCTTGTGGTTAACAGGAGACCATTCAAATTCCACTTAATATTGGTTTTTAAAGGCGTGGCTGTCACTTTAGCTTACGTGATTGGCTTCCTTCAGCTGCTCAACTGTTAAAAGGTTAGATTTGTCCTGTTCATATGTAAAACTTCTTGTTTGTGAGGGAACCAAGCCCTGTAATCGAAGTATTTTATCATCTATAGATGTGCAAGAGGGCACACAGTTTTTAGAATGTAAAAAACGTTAATCATTGTTTTATTAATGCTTAAATGTTAATCAACCTTAAAAGACTGAGCCCATTAAAAATGGTAGAAACACCTCTGTTCCTTTAACTGTTCCTGTGCCTGTTAATTTCTCAAATATCAATTCCCAGAAAAGCAGAAGATCCCATTTGTTGTGGTCACCATAACTGCGGTGTTTGCTCGCCCCTCCTCTGCTAATGTGCAGCTTTGTAAGAAAAACAAATTCCACAACGAATTTAAGCTTGTAATGCAGGTTGAGCTGAGAAATTATGAAGGATGATTTTGCAGTGGTTTCAAAGCCAGTGGGAGGGCCAAATGCCGAAGTCTCCGCAGGCTTCCCCCATTTTTTAAAAAAACCTGAATCATTTACAGCAGAGTGTGTGATTCACTTCGAAGCAGTTCTTCTCTCCCTCCCTCTTTCTGCCGTGCTGCATCTCACCTTGAAGATGAATTATCTAACACTGAGTTCTTCACAAAACAGAGGTACAATTAACAGGCTGACTCACCGCACTGGCAGATACCTCACTAAAGTCCCGCACAGCACACATCTTTTGTTCCTTCGCAGGGAGGGTGAGAGGCACATACCTAACAAACCGGCAGGCAGGGCGAGGCCGAGCCACATTCCCATGTCAGGAAGGAAGAAAAGAAACAAAGATGCTGCTGCAGAGTTGTCAAACCGATGATGTGGCCTTTATTGAGATCCAGTCCAAGGTAGGAAAACTCAATCAGCAACATACAGTACAGGTGCAGATCATGTGCCGCCTCGGATTGTGACAAAGAAGGGCTGAAGTGAAGTTTTTGTTTTTTGCGCACTAATAAAATATTTCCAAGGGTCTGACCTCTGAGGCCAGATTTGGTTTTGAGCTGCATGTTAAAAACACAGCAAAGGGACGCATGAGCTGTTTTTCATGAACACCTGTAACACAAGATCAAGGCTGCTGCCACAGGAGCTTTGGCGCCTCCTGGTGGGCACACGGAGACTGAGGTGTCGATGTCTTCTGCCAGTTTTCACTTTCAACTCACACTGTTCAGGATTTTCTTTAAAACCACAGACGCTGCTGATGTTTTTTTTGCGTGTAAAAATGGATATCTGATATAGGAATTACAGTACTGAGGTAAGCATTTACAACACCTGCTCTGTTCTCAGGATATCAATGAGTATTTACATTTTGAACAAACTGATTTGAAAGTGAAGTGACTTTCATTTCAGGGGTGCTTTTTACATGGAGATCAAAGCTTCAACAGTCGCTGTCTGAAACACAGTTTAGGCATCAGCACGGACACGGCGATGAAGACGATGAGGATGAACTCACACATAAACAGAAGTCCAAAGCAAAATCCGATAATCGTTTAGGGAAACATATTAATCATGCAGGCAGCACCAGGAATACAGTCTGTAGCTTGTCTGTAATGCATGTGAGTGAATCCACTTGTTTCCTTTTCACTTTTTTGTACAGGTTCAGTTCAGTTATTACAAAGAGCCTTCTTTCTAAAATAACAATTAAGCAAATATAACAACCGCCTTTATGCAAATATAGATTTATAACTGCTAAATGTGCAATGCAAGTATACAAATGCTGACTGACACCAGTGACTTTGGGACTTCTTAGCTTCCGTCTGAAGGGTCGAGGTCTCAGAGCTCTGTCATCAGGAGCGCTCTCAGGATCTTCTCTCTGTCCACCCTAATTTCTTCTCCGCTGCAGACACGAACATACGATTTAACAACTCAAAACTTGAACTTTTGTTTCTGCAACAAGGTGAGATATAATTTTCATAACAGAAAATTTAAAAAAAACAAACATTTTACAACAGTAACTATGACAGAAACAACACAAAGTCTGCTTTACAAAGACAAAGAACAGCAGCTACAGGATAAGAAGTTGTCTGGCAATTTAAGCTGGTCATACACAGATCTTACACTCATCTGATGCTTTGTTAGGTACACCTTGCTAGCACCAGTTTTTACTTTCAGAGCTGCTTTAATTCTTCATGGCACAGAACAACAAGGTGCTGGAAACATTCCTCAGAGATTTTAAGGCCCACATGACATGATAGCATTGCGCTATTTCTGCAGATTTGTCAGCTTTGCATCCATGACATGATTATCCCGTTCCATCACATTAAAAAGCTGCTCTATTGAACTGAGATCTGCTGATTGTGGAGGTCATTCGAGTGCAGCAAACTCATCGTCATGTTTAAGAAACCGGTTTGAGATGATTTGAGCTGTGGTGCGCTATCGTGCTGGAAGCGGACAGACACAGTAGCAACAATCTTCAGGCTGTGGTATTTAAATGATGCACAGATACCATTGATATGAGCAGGATGGGTGGATGTTTTCATGTTGTTGTCAGAAATAGACCAGCAACATTTTTTCAATCTTCTATTTTCCAATTCTGGTGAGCCTGTGTGAACAGGAGCCTCACTTTCCTGTTCTTAGCTGAGTGGAACCTGGT